GGACAGGACTCGAACCTGCGACTCTGACGAGAGTAGCTTTCTAGGCTACCGCCTTAACCACTCGGCCACCGTGTCAACTGACTGCTGATGTTCAAGATCATTATCGAGATGTGACTACCGGTGACTCGCACCAATCGCTGAAATCTGTCCACGGTGAAAAAGGAGAACTGCTGCTGATGTGATTTTGACACGGAACGTTTTATATAAACTGCACAACTTTGCTTGAAAAGATTCGGCTACAATTGTAAGAATTCCTAGGAATATCCTACAATTGTAGGTCCCGACGATCGAGAAAGACGCGGGACTCGCACGCGTACGGTGGCTCGGATGCAGACGCCACGCGCAAAGTAAGCGCGCCTAGGCGAGGCGCCAAGGCGACGAGCCCGGTCCAACAGGCGTTCGGCGTCTCATGTGCCAGTGGGGAAAGGCATACCACGAAGCGCGTCTCAAGTATGGGAAAGTCCCGTCTTTACTTTTTGGCACCACCGTCGCGTCGCCGCCGAAAGGCGCGGATGCTGTTCATCGTCTGCTTCGCGTCGGGTTTGTCTCGGAACGCGGCGACGAGCTCGTACGCCTCGCCGTGGGGAATGGTCGACTCGTCGGCGACGCGCTCGTAGACGAGGAACGGCGCCGAGACGCGCGGCCGGAAGACCGCCCCGACGATGGGGTAAAACCTAACGCGGCCGGTGTCGCAACTCACCGCGGCGAGAGGGCGACGCCGCAACGGCGACTCTTCCGCGGCGGACGGGCGAAGCCGCTCGCGACTCTTGGCGCCCCCGTCGAGCCCGGGGTTGCCGACTCGAAACGGACGAATGGCGGTGACGTCCTTCCGGGCGGGACGATTAAGGAAAAGTGCGCAGCCTCTTCGAACCGCGCTGCAAAGCCGAGGCGGCTCGCGCGCCCTCGCACGCCCATGACGGCCTCGGCAGACTACGCGGGGAGCGTCTTCCGCGGCGTCCGAATAGGTTTTCCGCGGCAAGACGCGCCTGGACGTCGCCGAGGCGCGGGTTGAGGAGGATGACGGGCCGGCCGTCTGCGGCGACGACGTGGGCCGTCAGCTTGGGCAGAATGGAGTACGATTGGACGCTCTGGGGCATCATGATGATCCAGCAGTCGTCCAAATCGTCTACAGACTCCGACCCGACTTCCCCAAAGCGGATAAAGCCGTCGTCGAAGAGCTGCTGCTGGTCCGCACCTAGACCATTTGATTTGCCCGATACTGAAAAGGTTGAGGACGAATCGGAAAAGGTCCTCCTTCGGGACTGGAGACGCGCACCCCAGTCCGTCAGCTCCAGCAGCCGCCGCATGCCCGCCAGCGACATGGGCATGCCCGCGCGGAAGCCCTCGCCCAACGGGCCTTGGACCTGAAGCGCGGCGGGGTGGGCTGCGGAAAGGGCCGCGGTCCGAAGATGGACATTTGCCCTCAGGCGTCGACGCGGGCCTCTCTGAGGCGCCGCTCGCGACGTTTATTTCGTCGGAGCAGCCTCGGTGGGGTTTGGCTTTTTCGACGCCGCTTCGGACGCAAACGCGGACGCGCACGCCGCCGCGCACGAGCTGCAGCGCGACGTGCCGCACGAGCTCCAGCACCTGGGGCGGTACGATCCGCCAGTGCCGCGCTCCGGAATCGCCGTCGACGGCAGCGGTGGTTTGGTTCGCCGGCGACGACGCGGTGCGGCGCGGCACCCGCGCGGTACGTGTCGTACTCGTCGTTGAGCGTCGGCGGGCGGAGCTCCAAGATGTAAGTGTTGTTTGCACCACTCACAGCGTGCGAGCCTGCGTCGACGACTGAGAGCATGCAGGACCGTGTCGGCCCCAGTCTGGTCGAGGGCCCTCGTGAATGGTCCGTCTCGGGTCCATCTCAGCCCTGGTAGAGGGCCCTGGTACATTCAAATCGGATGCGCCACCCTTTCCGACGCGGGTTTGGACCGAGCGCGTGGACCACGGCGGCGGCGGCGGCGTCTTCGAAGAAGTGCGTCGTGGACGCGGATGCGGGGACGTTGTTCAGTTTCAAGTCGTCGGGTAGCTTTGGCAGCCCGAGGCCCCCGGGCATCCCCAGCAAGAGCGCCGCCTCCAGCGCAAACTCGTCGCCCAGCCACGCCGCCGCGAGCAGGAGCCGCGACTCCAAACTCGCGCCGGTTTCTTGCGCGCTAGACGTCACCGCGACCCATTGCACGACTGCGCGCTCCTGCGCCTCTGCGCCGGCCCGCGAGCGCACGGTGACGTCGCAGTGCAGCTCCGAATCGTCGTAGCCGACCTGCGACAACGTCGAGCGGCGGGACCGGTGCGCTCCGGTCAAGGCTCCGGTCTCGAAGGCCATGTATAGAGGGCCCGGTCTCGAGGACCCGCCCTGCCTCGAGGGCCAGTCTCGAGGAGGGCCCGGGCTCGAGGGGTCCCGGTACAGAGGACCTGGTCTCGGGGTGGTCTCTGCGTTTTCGACGTGCCACGCTGGCGCGCGCGAGCTTTAGGGCGGCGATGGTCGCCGCGCCGCCGCTGAAGCGGTTCTTCTTGGAAACTGCTTCACCCACGGCGGACGCGCGGCCCACGAGGGCGCGCAGGATTTCCGGGCACTCGGACGTGACGAAAGCCAGCCGCGCCGCGTCCAGCGCTAGCGCCGCGTCCGAGGACGCCTCGGCCGGTGCAGGCGGCGCCTCGGCCGCTCGTAGCACGCTACCCTCCCTCGCCGCGCCATTCACCACGTCGCGCCGCCCCACCTCCCGCGCCCCCGGCACCCGCCGCGGCGCGACGAGGGCCGTCGCCGCGGCCGCGCACAAGAGGAGCCGCATCGCCGCCGACCTGAAGCGTCGCGAGAACGACTCGGATTTTCCGGGCACCCGATCTTCTCTTCGAGTCACGGAGGTCCTCGCCGAAACAAAACGCTCGCGCCCGGCCCCGCGCTGCCGGCGCTGCCGCAGCCCCGGGGACTCCCGGGGTAACCGGGGCGCCGGCGACTCGGAGCCCCTTCGCCACCGTGTTAAAAAGCGGCCTAGGCGCTGTTTGGGTCGTATGCTATGTTGCTCGTGACGGCGAGGAGCCCGATCCAGGGCGCGTTGAGGAGCAGCGCGGCGACGACCTCGAGTCGAGCCGTGCGCTCCCACCACCGCAGCCGCCGCGCGAGCTCGGCCTTGAGCGCCTCGCGAAAGGCCCTACAACGGAGGCGGTGCAGCGAAGCACCGGGAGAGCGCCAAACGCACTCTTCGGCGCTCGCCGTGGCAAGCGCGTCGGGCGGGAGCGCTTCGCCGTAAAGCCCGCACGTCGCGAGGTACGTAAAGACGTTTGGCGTCGCGACGCGCCAGCAGAGCTTGCAGATCGCGGCGACGAAGACGACGCGCGATGCGTTCATCAGAACGTAGATGCAAAACGCGGCTAACGCCGAAAGCAGCTCGGCGTGGAAGTACCATTCCAGCGTGCAGGCGCAGTGCTGCGTGGCGATGCGGATGATCTGCTTGTTGGGCCCCGTGCAGCCGACGCGGCATTGGGGCGTGGCGCCGCAGTCGAAGGCGGAGACGCGGAGCGGCGACCATTCCGAGGCGTCGACTCTGCAGCTCTCGTCGGCCAGGTACGCGCCAACGGGCAGGTACGCGGCGCCCTCGTTGAGCGGGCAGGCTTTTGGGGGCCCGGCGGGGCAGGGTGCGTACCCTAAAAGGCCGCAGCACCGCACGGTGAAGTCGGCGTCGAGCTTTTGATGGTCGACGCACTGCCCCATGACGAAGATCGACTCGGCCGACGACTGCATGGCGCGCTGCAGCGACTGCGCGTAGAGCGAATCGTCGTCGGACTGGTCTTTTGATGACGTTTCGTACTTCGCACATTGATTCCCCCTGTTGGAGTTGTAGTCGTCCAGCGCTTTGGCGTGCGCCGTGTGACCGTTCTCCGCGGCGTAGTTGTACGCGATCGAATAAAGATTCTTGGCCAAAAAGGTGCCGTTGCCGCGCGTGCCGCCGCCGTCGACGCAAACGGCAACGTACTGGCGGTAGAGCGGGACGTACGCCCGGAAAGCCGCATAGATGACTACCACGCCGGACGCGCCCAGGAGCGCAAAGGATCCGGCGGGCGAGAGGAAGATCTGGAGCGCGAGGGTCGGATAATTCGTCCCCGCAGGGGCGCGGTCCTGCCTTAAATCGGGCTTCGGGAGGTTGAGGGCGCTCCTCTTCATAAACCTCTGGACCGTGGCGACGGTGTGGTACGCGCGCCAGGCGTAGTCCACCAAGACGAGCCCCTGCGAGACGGAGCCGGCGGCCTTGAGCAGGATGCGCACGTCGTACGACGGGCCCGAGAGGTCCTCCCAGCCGCCAAAGTCAATCGTGTTCGCCTGCGCGGCGGCGCCGCGCGCGGTAGAGTTCCAGCGCGCAAACGAGTAAGCTGCGTCGCCCTGGGCGTTGGCCTTGAGGGCCGCAAACGCGTTGAGCGACACGGCCTGCCGCTGCACAAAGGCGTCGGCCTCCGCGTCGTGCGCCTACAGGAATCCATGGCGACGACGGTCGCAAGCCTCCTGGACGGCACTCGAGCCGCAATCGAGCATCATGATAGAAGAAGAAGAAGCATCAGAGGCCATGGAGCCTCTGATACCGCGCCTGCACCGCCACATCCTGTGACGGTTCGGGTTTTCCGTTGCGGGTTTCTGGCCCTCGGACGCGGGTTCGCGCCGCAGAGACGTCTTCCAGGTCCGCGTCGCCGTCGGCAAAGTCGGCGTACTCGGGCGGGTCGTATTCCCCCGCCAGGTCCAGCGCCGGCAGCGATGAAACTTGGATGGCCATGGACTTGATCGTCAGCTTGGCGGCGGCAAACGACTCGAGCGACGCCAGCGACACGTTGAGCAGG